CTTCCTCTTCCTCGTGCTCAGCCTCCTCCTCGGCTGCGTCCTCCTCCTCCTCCTTCTCCTTCTCCAACTTGTCGTCCTTCATCCCGCCCATTCTCGCCAGGCCCTCTCCTCCTCCTCCTCGCAGTCCTCTCCTTCCTCTCCACTGCCTTCTCTTCCCCCTCATGATGCAAGACAGACGCTTGCCAGTTGATCGACCTTGGGTCCATGTGGTTCCTCCCACCCTCCTCCTCCTCCTCCTCCTCCTCCTCCTCGCTCTCCTCTTGATATGCTCGCTGTTGCTCTCTCTTCATTGCAAGCTTTGCCCGCAGCTTCTCCTTCCTCCGCTTCTCGCGCTCCTCCGCCCGCTTCTCGTCTTCCAGCTGCTGACGGAACTTCTGCAGTTTCCGCTCCAGCTCCTCCTCGAAGTCTTCGTCTTCTAACAGGAGCTCCAGCTTCCTTGACTTGTCAGCTCCCTGGTCTTCCTCTTGGACGATCTCATATCCTCCGTCGTACGCAGCAGGGGCGTATGATTTCTCCTCCTCCCTCCCCACCTCTTTGCTGCCCAGCTCCTCCTCCCTGTTCTCCTCCTCTTCCATCCGCCCTTCTCCCAGGTTCCACTCCTCCTCTTGCAGCATCTCATACTCCTCTTCAACTTTCTGTCCCACATCCGCAGCATCCGGCACTCCTCCGACACCAGGCAGGTCCTCCCGCCATCCTTCCTCCTGACTTCTCTCCCCTGAGTTCCATCCTGCGATTGGAATCCCCAGCAGCTCTCCCTCATCTGGCTCATTCTGAACCTCCTCGCTCCTTCTTGTCTCCTTCGCGCCCGTGGTCAACCTCCTCCCATCCCTCTCCTCCCCTCCTCCACCGTTCTGCTTCTGCCTCCTTCCCTCCACCTCCTCCCTCAGCCTCTCGTAGTTCGCCAAACTTGCTTGTATCATACGAGCATGCGCCTCCGCCTCCTCCTTCGCCCTCGACGCCTCCACCAGCTCTTGCTGCACCTGGTCGAGCTCCTGTTGGTCAGAGCCGGAGAGCTGAGACTGACGGAGGAGGTGTCGGAGCTGCATCTCCCTCTCCTGGGCGATGAGGAAGCGATACCGCTCCCTTTGCTTGTTCCTTTCCGCCATCTCAGCCTTGACGTCCTGCCGCAGTCGTTCGACCTACAGGAAGTTAAGAGGAGGACGAGGAGGGGGCAGGAGAGAAGAGGAGAAGGTGGTGACGGGAAAGGCAAGAGACTGGAAGGAGAGGGAGGAGGGTTCAGAATGAGCCAGATGAGGGAGAGGTACGAGGAGGGATAACAAGAAGGCAAGGACAATGACGAGGACAGAACAAGGGGGAGCGAGATGAGGGGAAGGAGGGGAAGAGGAGGAAGAGCACGGAGAGGAAGATGGCAAGCGCGCGACTGTCGACCTTCATCCTGATCTTGTTTCTCTCCTGCAGCTTCGCATCATACTCCTTCCGCTGAGCTGCCTCGGTCCTCTTCAGCTCTACCATCGTCCTCCTCAGGCTCTCAGACTGCCTCTTGACGATGGAGAGGTCATGCTCCAACCTCCTCATCTTCTCCTCCACCTCCCTCGCCCTCTCTCGCACTCCCTCCTTCTTCTCCGCGTGCTGCTCAATCAGCGGCTTCAGCTTGTTGATCTCACTGATCCGCTGGATCGTTTGCTTCTCGGCGCGGAGGAGGGCAGACTGGTCGTTGGTGGCCTTCTTCAACCCTGTCTTGGAGATGTTGGGCTTGTTCATGAGCATCGCAAACTTCGCCTCTGCTCCTGCCACGTTCGTCTCGAACTCTGACTCGATGCTCCTGATCAGATGCTGCGAGCCGTTTCAGCCGAACAACCCAATGCAGACATCCCAACTTGCTTTCTCTCCTTCATCCCCATCTCCCTCCCTCCCTCCCTTCCTGCCCCATCCCCCTGGTCACTCCATCCCTCTCTCCCTCCCACTCCTTCCCTCAATCGCTGTTCCTCCTTCCTCCCCTCCTCTCTTCCCTTCCCCTTCTCCGCCTCCTTCCGCTCACCTCAGCATCATCAGGTCTGCCGTACTGCACAAGAGACGAGAACTCCATCGTCCTCTTGTTCCGGTCCTCCAACGTTGGCCCCTTCCTCACCTCCTCCTCCTCCTCCCTGATGCTCCTTCGCTCCTCCTGCAACCTCTCCAGCTCGATCAGGATACCCTTCATCCTCTTCTGGAAAGGAGCTACAAGCTGCTGCTGCTGCCTGACCTCCTCAGCTATCCTGCTCAGCGCGCCAGAGCAGATCCCCACCTGCTCCTGCATCTTCTTGATCTCCTCCTCCGCCTTCTCCACCTCCTCCAGGTCCAGGTTGATCCTCATCTGCCAGGCCAGCTCGAGCCTCCGGATATCTTCCTTGGTCCTACTCCTCTCGGTATCTGACGTCACTCCCGTGAACTCAGCCTGCATCCATCCTGCTGGTGCCGGCAACTTCCTCTGCTCCTGCCTTGAGTCCCGCGGCATCTCGCCAAGCTTCGAGGAGGAGATCAACGGAGCTCCCAGAGATCGGGGAGGACCAGCTATGGGGCCCGACCCTTGAGCTTGCGGGGCGCTTGCAGCGGGCTTTACCCAAGAGGGATGCCAGGAGGAGGGAGGAGGAGGGAGAATGGGTGGACTAGTCTTGATCTCGCTGAACCCTGGCTGTAGCACTACAGGTTCAGCTCCTTGCCTTCCTGGCGCAGTAACAATCCTTGCTCCTCCTGCCCTCCCCCTTCCTGCTAAATCCACCCTCCCCACGGTTACTCCTCCTCTTCCCAGGGTTGCTCCTCCTCTTCCCAGGGTTGCTCCTCCTCTTCTTCCAGAAATTCCTCCTCCCAGTCCTCTTCCTCCTCCTCCCACGACAGGCTCCTCGTAAACAGCAGGCGCGTCTACTCCATTGTCAGCTCGAGGGTGATTTGTCTGCTGGGTGGGCAGCAGAGAGGAAGGAGGGTCTCGGGTTCTCAACCGGCGGCGCTGCGGAAGCGGTTCCTCCTAGAAACCAAGGGGAAAGAAGATGTGAGGATAGGAAGAGGGAGAGAGGAAGGAGGGGAGGATGAGGGAGGGGAGGAATGACAAGGGGAGGAAAGGATGGGATGGCGAAGAACAAGATAAGAGACAAGTTGAAGAGAGGAGGGGAAGCAAACGATGGTGGAACAGAGACGAGCAGTAAGAGCATGAGAGGAACGTGCAGGAATACGAGAAAAACAAGATGACAGCGAAGAGAACGAGGAAAGAGAGCAGCAGTTGTAAGAGGCGGGGGGAAGGCGGTGGGGGGAGGTTGCAGGAGGATGAGGTGAGTTCGAAGCGGATGGGGAGGACAGGGAGGAGGGGGAGGGAGGGCACCTTGGGAAGAAGAGGGGGTGCCCTTCCTCTGCCAGCAAATCCCTCGGCATCGGGACCACGAGGGAGTTTCGAAGCCTGTGAGGAAAGTTAGGGAGCAGCAGGAGGGGATAGCAAGTGAGAACATTCTTCACTGGCGAGATCGAGTTGGATTCTCCCGCCTCCTCCTGCTCTTCCTCCTGGTGGTCCTCCATGGCTGTCTCCTCGAAGATCTCCTCCTGTCCTCCCTCTTGCCCTCCCTCCTCCTCATGGTCGTTCTTCTCTCCCTGCTCCGGCTCGCCCAATCCTTCTTCCCCTGCTCCTTCTTCCCTGATGATAACAGACGTCAAAGTTTCGCGCCAGTTGGGACGGAACAAAACACTTGAACCTTTGAGATGGCATCGCTTGCTCATCGCTGCCCTCAGTCGCATTTTCGATATCTCTGATCTCTTCCTGCTTCCCCTCTAGCCTCTCCTCCTCCTCCTCCTCCTCCTCCCCTTCCACCTCTTCGACCCTTTCCTCCTCCTCCTCCTCCTCCTCCCCTTCCACCTCTTCGACCCTCTCCTCCTTCGTACCCTCTCCTCCTCCTCCTCCTCCTCCTCCTCCTCCCCCTTCCACCTCTTCGACCCTCTCCTCCTCCTCCTCCTCCTCCTCCTCCTCCCCTTCCACCTCTTCGACCCTCTCCACCACCTCCTCCTCCCCTTCCACCTCTTCGACCCTCTCCACCATCACCTCCTCCCCTCGACCCTGATCGTCTTGGTCTTGCCGTGCTGCTGGAATCTGATCGACAAAGCTTCCTTCCCCCGCATGCTGTGCGCCATGTCCATTTTGATGCTCCTGCTCCTGCTCTTTCTCGTCGCCTTCCCCAGCATGGTCCTGAAAGAATCTCCTGCTCGTTTTCTTCATCATCTTCACCACTCTATGATCATCATCTGCTCACCTTCTCTTCTCCATGTTCCCATGATCCTCCATCGAAGGAGTGTTGACGGTCTTGTTGTACAATGCTCTGGCCTACCGCAAGAACAACATCAGCTGCTGATCTCGCAACTTCAATCAGACCCAAGTCACATACATTGCTCATCATGTCCGGAATCGTTGACACGCCTCCGACCTCGTCCTCTGAACCTTCAGATGCACCTTGAAGCATCGACCTCAGCACATCGCCCCATCACCAAGAAACAACATACCCCCCCCTTCGACGCCCTTCACCTTCTCATGCTTGAAGACAGCAATGGGCCGATAAGGTGACGCGTCGATCGGCAAGATCTCCTCCTCCGCTCCTTCTTCTTGCTCAGCATATTGCGCATGCTCTTCCTCTTCCTCGCAATCCTTCAACCACGTGGTTCGGATCGCCTGCCATTGATGCTTCTTCTTCGACCCACTTTGACTCGCATCCTTGTCGCCTTGGCTACCTCCCACCTCGCTCGCTTCCTCAATGGGGTCGGACATCTGACTCGACAGCAGAAGTGAAGCCAAAGGGACACTGCAGGAGACGTCAGGCAAGGAGATCAGGTGCTGCGGGTCAGGACCCCCCTCCTTCCCTTTCTCTCACCCTTCACTCCAATCTTCCTGCCTGCTTCTTAGTTTCTTCTCTCCTCTCCTCTCCTCTCCTACCATCTTGAAATGCTCGCCCACATCACCGGATTCAACGCCTCCTCCTCCTCTTGACCTGATATTTCCATCTTTTGTTCTCCTCAACTCCGTAGAGTCTTCCGTTCTCCTCTCTTATCTCAACATATCCTCGTCGCATCTGATCTATCTTTCCATCCACCCTGCTCTCTCCTTCGCCTCCTCCTCCTCGTCCTCCTCGTCCTCCTCGTCCTCCTCGTCCTCCAGACTTTGCATGGAATGTTGCTTCGCTGTCGAATCCCACCACCTGAACCCCTACTAGGATCCCCAACTACCCACCTTATCTTTACCCTCATTTTCAAATAAAAGTACCCCGTACTTGCAGGCTATTCCTTAAAATTTCAACACCACCCACCCCACATGAGGATTTTCGATCCTTGGAGTTGACAAAGAGGAGTTTGACGGATGAAGAGCAGGACTGCGAGACAGGAGTGGGAGAAGCGGGAGCGGGAGCAGGAGGAGGAGCGGGAGTAGGAGGAGCGGGAGGAGGAGGAGCGGGAGGAGGAGGAGCGGGAGGAGGAGGAGCGGGAGGAGGAGGAGGAGGAGGAGGAGGAGGAGGAGGAGGAGGAGGAGGAGGAGGAGGAGGAGGAGG